ATTGCAACACAAGCACATTATCTCTGAGTGGAGAACTAGTGACTGTGTTCCTTTGATCTGTGTGAGTGATGGCAGAGGTTAGTGTGTGCTACATAGATCTTCATTTTAGCTAAAACTCTTCTGCATCAGGAATTCTGGTGTTTACCTTACAAGGCTTGTAGCACTTCTGGAATCTCCTCTGGAGATGCTGCCATGAGTCCTCTTTCCTCTGCTTTTGTAATGCCACTACACTGAAGGTGGAGACAAAATACTCCCTGACAGATGTGCTAGTCAAATAATAATCATTATTCCTAAGTAGGTGTTCAGGGGCTGTGAAAAAACTGTTGAAAGTTATTTGCTGGATGTGGACAGTCTGTGGAGCTGGTCAAATAATGAACTGCTGAAAGGAATTTTGTGTAAATATCAATATTTGTTGGATAAATTGCATTCAATACATTTTTTCCAGGCTGTATTCATCTGTCAGGAGACTTGGTGATGGTGGCTCTAGAGCAAAGGCCTTCACAAAGAGCATGGAAGCACTGTGTGCTGGGATGCTTCTGGAGGCAATCTCTGTATGGAGGCAGAATTCCTCCCAAGGGGAAGAGAATGCAGCTTCTGCCCTGTCCCACTTGTCTGTTCTGCTGTGCAACTCTGAAGGATGAAAAAGTAGTTCCTTCTCTCCCAGTCCATTTGGTTATTGACAGACTTCTCTCTGTGTTGAGGCTGTTAAACACAGAAGAGTAAAATCAAGCCAATTTTCTACTTGGTATGCTCTGTTTCACCAGCAGTGGCCAGATAAAACCCACAAAACCCAAGGAATATCCTCACAAATGCACTAAGCAAACTCTGAAAGCAACTTAGCTTTCTTCCAAGAGCAGCAGTTTTAATTTCTGAATGTACCTGGCTAAATTTGTCACACGCCTATGTGCTGCCTCCTTCCAGTGTGCCAGCTGCTTGTGCATGCAGCACCACAAATGCTCCTTGCCCCAGGCTTATGTTCCTGAGTATTTCCTCTCAGTGCCTGCATCCACAGTGCTGGAGTGAAGCTGTTGGCATTGGATAGGTCTTTTCTCAGGTGTAATCAGTCTGGAGGTTTATAATTTCAAAATAAGCTTACCTATAGAATTGAAATTGCTCATTACAAGCTGGAGAATGAGATGGCATTTTTTTTTCCCCTAGGAAAAAGTGATTTATAAATGACAGAACTTGCATTTGTGTTTTCCACAAAAGCTTTCTATGCAAAGCATGGTTGGGTCCCACTGGAAGAAAAAGGGCATTCATAAAACTTTTTCTCAATGTGTACTGTGTATACTTATGTACAATATGTTATAAGACGATCACAGTGTTAGCTCATGTGGCTTTACTGTGTCTCTGGATGGATTTGCAGATGATGTCAGCATCTTCAGAATAGATTTAATCTGAGAGAACCTAGTGATTTATTTAATTTTTATTTATTTTCAACATAGGCCTCTGTTCTCCTTGCTGTTCAGAAACATCAGTTAGAAAGGAGCATTCTGAGAGTGACGTATAGTATCTTTTTGAAGAATCCTATGAACTGCTGGGTAACCAGCCTTACATGCTGTTAGGCCTTTCAGAGAATTTCTTATACTGTGACCTTCTTCAGGAGCTGTTCCTCCCCTCTCAGAGGGGACACAAAATCATCTTGTTCCTATCATGAAACATTGCAATGGTTGTGATATGTGTTGTAATGAATCTCTGTGGAAAAGAACTTTACTATTTTTGATTTAATGAATGTAAATCCAGCTACTTACTGCAAGCATTCATAACATCTTCTTGCAAGGAAGGAATGAACATGTTGTTCTGAATGCTGAGTGGCTCCACAATTTCACTGAATACAATTTTCTTTAAAATTTGGCTCCTTGCAGTTTGCTTAGAACCTGGGAAGCAGCAAGAGCTGGTTGAAGTAAGGGTGTGGTTCTACACAAAATATACACAACTGGTATTTTTATTTTCAAGCTTTCTTCTTCCATGCTTTTCTGCTTCATTATGAGCCTTAAATATTTCAGCTTGAAGGATTTCAGCTGAGCTTATCTGGATTTTTCTTACATAAGATGGCAGGGATATAAATAAGAACTGCAGCATGTTATCAGGTGCAGGGAGAGAAGCAAAAATACATATTAAAGGTATTTTTTTAATGTGTAAAGCTGTGTTCTGTAGTAGTTTGAAAATTAAAATCTATGCGATACAAGGAAGTCTACGGTTTTCCAGATGTTTCCTGGCTGTCTAAATCAATATTTTATGCCTGCACAAAGTTTGCTGAAACAGTGTAGTTCTTGGAAAATGCTTCTTGATGAAATCTTATTTATGTCAAAAGTCATATAGTCAAGAAAAAAACTCCAGTGTTACATGTTTGCATTGTAAGTGTTTGATCCCAGTGCAAGGTCTCTGAGAGTCCCACCAGTTGTTATAGGAAGAATAACTACAACATTGACAATGGCTTGTGTACCACGTCCAGACTACTTGTGTTCTAAACTTCAGCTAATTTTGAGAATTGGGAATTACAACAGTAGTCAAATTATTTCAAAAGGACATGGAGTAAAAGCTGGTGATGTGTTTTTTTTTTTCTCTTCTCACTTAAATTTCATAAAAGCATCTTCAGCTGCTCTGATCTTGAAGTGCAGAATATAGAACAGTGTTTGCTTGCTGGAAATCCAGGAAAAACTGAGTTGTCAGTTCTATTGGCATCTGCCTGCCCTTATGTGCTTAAAGAACTAGATAAGAAAATGGGAATCTATTGTCTTGTTTCTTAATGGAAAATAAATCACTTCCTCCACCTTTTTTTCTGTGAGGAACCCAAGGATAATTCAGGCAGAATCAGAGCAGAAGCTTCAAGATACTGAAGTTCTGTTTTATTTTGTTTTGATTCCCTAATGGACCTTAATCTCCAAAAAGATGAGATGGTTATGTTCTGATTAATGTGGGCTATTTACCATTTCTGCTGATAAGCTGGGAGGATGCATTAAATCTGCCTCAGCAAGTGGCAGTGAAGTTTCAAATGGTAACGAGGACAGCTGCATCTTTCTTTGACTCCTCAAGGTCAAGTGTTTCTAAATCCTTTGCCAGCTTATTTATAAGATTGCTGATGTGATTCAGTTAGTTATGGAAACTGTAACCTCAAAGATATTTTCAGCCTTTTGTGTTGGTGGAAATACTTTTTACTATATTTATAATGATGCTCCCGATAGTGCTTTTCAGTGTTTTTTTTTGGGCAGTGGCTCATATCAAGCCACAGATGTATTTTGAATGAGTAGCAAGACTGCCTAAATCTTAAACTGGAAGTTGGAGTTGGAGCCAGACTTGAAGATGACAATTTCATAAGGAATATGTCCCCAAAGTCCTCAGTTTCCTTAGGCTTATATATTTCAGAGTCTGTGGTTCAGTGCTGCTTGTGCTTGGGGCCCAAGATGAAAGAAAAAATGATTATTTGCAAGATTACAAGACCTTGCTTGTCAAGGTTAAGATTTTTGGCTTGATTTTTTCTTCCCCTAGTGGAATTGAAGAGCTGCCTAAAATGGAGATCTGAAATGCACCTGGGTATTATCCTCATTTGAGAAAAGAGGAGAGGGAAATGCTTACTAGTTAAAAAGGGGGAGAATAAGGGCAAGGTCAGAGTTGCATATAAACCCTGCATCTTCTTCTGGCATGACCTTTGCCAGTGTCAGGGCCTGGAATACCAGTCTGGTGCTTAGGGCTGCTGCTGGGGACATCAGCGTGTGTGGAGCAGTGGTTACTTGACCCTCAAGGTCTTCATATCTTGAGCAGCAGTCTTGTATTTTGCAGCTTTTGTTTCCAAAAAGCCTCAACAAGCTTTTGTTTTCTACTCTTTCTGCTAGCTTTAGCTACTTCCAGTTCCTTGGTGGCCCCTGGATGCTGCCAGCCCCCTTCTGATTTTCCTCTTTTTTTTCTGTGGCAAAGGTGAATCTTAGCTCCTCAAGGATGAAGAGTTTCCTCAGAAGGACACAGCTGCCTCTAGAAGCCTCGTGCTGATCCTGAGTAGTGGGTTGTTTATTGAGCCTACAGATGATGTTTGTGCTTAGAGAAGTGTGTACTGTAAATTACTGCTGCAAGTTCAGTGGTACCTTGCTCATAAAGTATTGCCATACTTGCTCTCTCGTGAAGTATTTTGATGCTAACACTTCAGAGGGTTTAATCTGATCAGTGAAATTTCTTACCTCTCTGCAGCTCCCTTCTGCTGGAATTTGCTCCAGTGCCATGTTCCTCTTGTGAAGGCACTCTAGCATTTGACAGTTTAATAAAAAAGCTCAAATATGTGATTTTGCAAAGGTGTACATTGATACAGAGAGGCTGTCAATTCTTCCTGGGCAACTTCCTCACTTTTTGTGGGAGATACCTTCTGATCTGAGTTAGGTATTTCTAAATTCTTTGAGGATGTCACTGAGCTTCAGACCATAATGATTTGCATTTGAGCAACAGTCAAACTTAATTTAGTGTAGTTCTTGTTTTTGCTGGTGGAATTGCATTTATGAAGAATAATTTTAAAAAATCAGAAATATGAGATAAAGGTGCATCTGTGGTTATGTCTCATTTGGATCTTTAATGAGTAGGCATGAATTTATCCTTTGTGGTAGCCATTTATTGATCCATCCACAAAAGATATTTAACATCAGTTGTGACTATTTCTTCTGCATTGTTACCTTGTTAAATAATGGTACATTCTTGTCTCTGTTTTAAAATATGAGCTGAGTTTTGCCATTTACAAGACTGTCAGTTTATCACATGCAAGTTTTTTTTTTTTGTATAGAGAAAATTAAAAATTTGGTGCCTCTGTAAAGGCACCACTTAAAAATAATTAGACTAAGGTGTAGCTAGACAATTGTGTAAGTGAAGGAATTTGGAGTTTGAGTGTGAATCTGGTTTGCTTCTGGGATTTTGGCATTGCTTAGGGACTGAGAATACCATGGCTCCTTTTGCTGCAAGTGTTGTCATTATAAAGCTGCAGAGATTAAATGTGTTGTTATTATTTTTTAATTGTCAATTCCAAATAACTTCTCTTTATGCACAGTAATTTCAGTCAGATATTCCAAATGCTAATGGGGATAGTGGTGTGTATATTGCTGGTATTTTTAAAATCATGTTGCTTTAAAAGTTACTTTTTCTTTTTTGCAATTCACTACTATGAACAATGAATTTGTCCAGTTGAATTTCCTGGCAGTTCACTGAAGAACTTTGTCTTCTATGTTGGTGCATGGGAACAGTCTTATATGGGCTTGAATAGAAAGGCTGTATCACAGGGAGCTAGAAAATCTCCAGTAAACTCCAGGAGCGAGGTGAAATCTCACAAGCCCTCTTCACAATCAGGTATTGTGAGCTGAGCTTCTCAGCAAATCTGACAAACTGCATGTTAGAAGAATATTAGAGAGGTACTTCTCTTCTCTGAAAACACAACAGAATTAAATCTCTATTTTTCAGCTGCCCAGTGACAGTTTGCAGCAAGAGTTGGCTGCTATGGCAGCACTCCTCTGATCCTTCACTTGTTAAACAGGGAGGAAAAACCACAAATCAAACTGGATTTCATTTGCCTCATCAAAGCCAACTCAAATGAGTACATTCCTCTTGTCTTTGATTTTGTTAATTTTTGAGAGATCTCCTGAGGAGATACCTGAATTTGAAGCATGTGGGGAGCTGTTACTTCTGAGAGCTGAAAATGCTTGCATCTTGCATGAGGAAATCCTGACATGCTGATGAGCGACCAAAGTGATGTGCATCCAGCTCCTGTGAATCACAGGGCTTCATGGGAAGCTGTTCAAAGCATGCTGAAAAGACACCTGCTGGTCACAGCTCAGATTGAATCAATTGTTGCAGGGCTCCTGCTGTGTGCATGTTCCCTACACCAGCCCAGCCAAATCTGGGATTGTCTGTGCTCAGCAGGTGTTTTTTCAGTAGAGCTGAATGGCAAATATCCACTCTAGTAGGTCATAGATGTCCTAGCAAGTGTCAATAATATATAATGTATGGAGATGGTTAATTAAACACTTGATGCTAATAATACAATAGTCTTCAACTGAGTTACTCAAAATGTGATTTTGTGAAAAGACTCCTTTCTCCAGCTTTCTTCTCTTAGCTCCTAGGTCTGGGATTGCTGAAGGCCATCCTCAGCAGTAAAGACTGGGGCAAAGGAGGTGTGCAGAAATTCCACCTCCTCTGAGTCTTCTGTTTCCAGGACCAGTCCTCCTGGACCCTCTTGTCTTCTGGAGCCCTAAAGCACAGGATTCTTATAGGCAGGCCTTTGAAGAGGTCAAAGTTACCTCTCCAAAGCCAGAGACAGACACCCTGCAGGAGTACCCTGTTATACCATGGAAGAAGGTTTGGCAGGTGGTAAAGGACTGCTAATAATAGGTGGAGGGCTGAGGAAACTAAAACCCTTACAAATTTCTGCATTCCATGTAGAGAACAGTGCACCACATTCACATGTTTGTAAGGAAGGCAAGTTCAAGGTGAAGGTATTTTGTTTTAAGAAACTCGGTATTTCACAACAAAACTGGGAAGATGCCTGTGGTCCACTAGGAAAATACAAAATCAGTCTCATATAAATTAATTCAGGATTTTTTGTTTTTAGTGACCTGCTGCATTTAACTTTTGAATAGATGGGATGCTTGGAAGCAGAACTATTCAGGTGCAGGGTAGAAACTAGATGATAAAGCCTTGAGCCAGATTCCTTGCTGATCTTGGTGACTTGAAGTAAGAGAGGCAGCTGGAGGGGATGGCTGGGTTTTCTTACTGGATGCTTTGTAATCACCTCTTTTGCAAAACTTGCTAAAGAGGCAGGAATGTGCACAAACGTTCTTGAGATCTGTCTACCAAATTGCTAGTTGAGTCCCCCTAACTTCTTGTTCTCTCTAAAAATGCAAGTAGGGATTAAACCCCTAGAGAGAAAACCTGATGTTTCGGTCACTGTTAGTAGTGTACTGTTTTAAATGTTCCATGGAAAACAACAATGCATACAGTTCCGCACTGGTTGCGTGAGGTGACTTTTGGTGTCATGAAATGCTGAGATAACTGAGAGAGCTGTCAGTTCATTTCTGTGGATACTTGTAAACTGTCCCTGGGTGTCTGTGTGGATGTGATTTTCTCTTTATCCCCCCAGAATTAAGCCTGTGACACTTGACTGTAGCAGATGATTATTGATGCTACAGTAGATCTTCTTGTCCCCCAGTTAGCAGAAGGGAACATGTACATCACCTGGGGCTGTAATGTGCCAGAAGAACTGGAGACCAAGATCCAGCAAGATGGACTTGTGGACTGTGTGCCTGCCATGTCTTTAAACTGCAGGACAGCAATTCTCTATGGGGAATGAAGGTTAGTTCAGCCTCCTGACCCAGGTGTTGTTCTCCTACACCCTTGCACAGAGGAGTGAATTTATGGCTGGGTGGATGTTGCAGGGCTCACAGCTGAGAGCTTTGTTTTCAGTGTGTGTAGTGTCTGTTATTAGAACGTGTTTCTTTAGCTGTCAAGTGACTTCCTCATTTTGTAACCGAGTTAGCTCCTGCCAAAACTGTCACATGGTTGTATTTTATGTCTGGTACTAAGATAGATCAGTAAAAATTGAGCCATGCAATTGTTTTGTGCCTTTTTAACTTTCCATTTTTCATCTTCCAGTGATGTAAACTCTGTAACTGTTGGCTGTTAAGTACCATATTACTCTGTACTGGGTGGTACAAGACATCGGGTGTTGTATATTTATACAGATATTTTGATATTGCAAACTTGAAATATTTCTTCAAAATCATCCTTTCCTGCAAACCATACACTGCACAATACAAAGCTAATTTGCTGTACTTTCAAATTCAAGTGAAGGCTGTGGGAACTCCTTCCTGCCATCTCCAAGAGTTGTATCACTGTTTCTTTTTCCCAGATTGGTCATACGTCTGCATTTACCTGTGATTGCAAGTTCAAAGTTAGTTTCTCCTGATCTGTGAAACTTACCTGAGAAGTTGAATGAATGTCTCTCAGCCTTTTGAACTGTATGGCAAAGAGAAGATGTCAGCATTGTATGAGTATCTGTTCCTCCAGCTGTGATGGCATTAATTCAATTTCCTGATGGCAGTAATGCAAGCTGAACAATAATATTAACTCTTTGTCTTAGTTTGGGTGTGTAACTTCTTTTGCATTTGATACTCTATTTATAGATTTGGCACAAGGTTGAACACACTTATCACACCTCATTGGTTGCACATTTCACCCTCAGAAAGATTAGGAGTCTATTTTTTATTGATTCTTACGCTGAGCAATTTCAGTTTTGGTTTTTGTACTTTGACCTCTAACCCTGGGATCCATTAGGACCCCATGCCAGCAAGGTGTAGACACATCAACTACAGAGGGAAAGAAGAAAAAAGACACTGTCTACAGCAAGGGATGCATTAATAGATTGAATTCAAACATAGAAAAGGCAATTTTTTTCCTGCTGGGAAGCAGAATCCACAGGAGAATCATCTCAGGCTAAAGAACATGATCTGAAAATCAATAAAGACCCTATTGTGCTGGTGATGTGTCCGGGAAGTGTCATTTTATATCTTGTTAGTGGAAATCTAAAGGAAGTTAAAGCTACTTTACTTATAATAGCTGGATAGATTCTCTTTCATCAGTGGACTATTTTGCTATTCAAAGTAAAAGTGAAAAATGGTGGAGAGGCTGGTTTGGATATGATGAGATGGATTGAAGACAATAGCTGTTAGGAGTGTTTGGTTGTTTTGTTAGGCTGATGCTCTTTCCAGAAGGATTTCCAGCTCTGTTTTTAAATCAGATACAAAAGAGTAATTAAAAATAGAAGGCTTTTTTCCTGTTGGTTTGATTGGAAGAAAACTCTGCACTTGACATTTTTACTGTATTAATGCTCCAGACAAACTGTAAACACCATTTGCTTTAGTGCAGTGGAGGAAGGAATTATGGCTCTTGGTTAAGTTTATCTCTATTATTAATGCTATAGGCTGGATAAACTTAAATGATGGCAGTGATAACTGCACACAGCCCTTGATATAGTTGTGGCCTTGCAAAATTAGCATGGAATGTGGTAATATTATTATAGAAGATTCAATTAAGTTATTGATTAAAAACACCATACAGCTGGCAGAAGGAAGAATACAAGTTAGGGAAGAAAAAGGAAGAGTTATTGTGTGTACTGCAACTCAGTTTTTCAGTTTCTGTCTAGTCGGAATTCTGTTTTTTTGAGACACTCCCCTTTTAAACAGGTTTTGTGATTTGTTTTTCTTGGTCCTTTGCTTTAACCAGTTAGCTTACACATTTCTCAATGAAACTGCAGTTTTCCTAATTGGTTTGGGATTTTGGACAATTTTCTTACAAAATAATAATAAATTATCAATAATCTGAAAGACAATCCTGCTAAAAAAAAGGACATAGCACAAGTGCAAGGCTTGGTTGCTTCAGAAGGTTTTACTTTACTGGCATTTGACCTCATGTTGTTGATTGGGGTGAAGTATAAAGACAATTAGGACCACCTTTGTTTCTGGGGTTTTTTACAGGCCTGTGGGATCAGAAGGCTTGATAATAAAACCAGGGCTTGAATAATAGTGATTGGTGTAATATAAACACCTAAAAGTTCAAAATACAAACCTCCCCCCAACAGTTTTGAATGTACTTTCTCGGCCTTTAGGATTGGTATCACCAGTGCACCATGGATGGGTTTTGTTACCTACCTCTGGTCCTGCAAGAGCTGTGCTATCATGACTACCCCAACAGTATGAAACCACTGGAACCTTTAGATGTGACCTCCCAAAAAGTGTGGTCACCCTGCTCTGTAACTCCTGCTGTTTTGCTCTCTCTGTAAATATCAAACTCTGAGGAGCTTGTTAGGTGTGTGGGAAAGATAAGAGATTTCCTTTCATGTTCCTCTTCATTACAGCTGCAGGCCTGTCTGTGTGTATTTTTTGCCTGTGTCCACACACACGCAAAATTTCTGGTTTCCTACTGATAGGTCAGAGGTTACCTCTGTGATACAGAATACTTTTCCCACTTTTCTCTGTTTCACACAAACTCATTTCAACAATAGAGTTCATTGAACATCTGCTATTAAATTTCTGTTCTTGAATTTAAATTACTGTCTTAAATCTCATTAATTTGAATAATGCATTTTATTAAAATTGGACTCTAAATTCAGCACTATCTGAGCTATGTCATCTTCCTTATTTCCTCCTTTACCTTACCATTGGAGGAAAATAGCTCCAATAGTACTTTGGACACTGCTTTAAAGGATATTTTGTGCAATAGTTGATTGTGCTTGGTTGACCCCAGTCATCAGCTAAGTCGTCATCACCAAGTTGTTCACTCACTTCCACCTTTCAGAGAATAAGGCAAAATTTAGGAAATTTTCAGGCTAAAGATGTTTAAGTCAGGGCAAGAGAAACAAGAAAAGCTAAGAAGTGATGCAAAGGCCATCAGCAGCCAGATGGGCAGCCAGTTTGAGGAATCACCACTTTCCAAAATTGCATTCTGCTTAGGAATTTTACTGTTGACTATGTCATTATGTGGCATGGAATATTGCTGTGGTCAG